CAGGCAGAACTGCATCCTGGCGGACGAGATGGGGCTGGGGAAGACGATCCAGTCGATCGCGTTCCTGCGGGAGGTTCACGGGGCGGGGGTCCGCGGCCCCTTCCTGGTGATCGCCCCCCTCTCCACCATCACCAACTGGGAGCGCGAGTTCGGCACCTGGACCGGCCTCAACACCATCGTCTACCACGGCAGCCTGGCCAGCAGGCAGATGATCCAGCAGTACGAGATGTACTGCAAGGACGCCAAGGTAGGGCCTTCGTCACCTTCATCACCTTCATCTTCATCGTTTTAGTTTGTTTTCGTGTTTATATTTTTAGTTTGTTTTCTTTTTTTATATTTTGAGTTTCACACCTTCACGCACTCCTTGTCCATGGACACCCTGATCATCTGCAGGTAGGTGATCCAGTAGAAGCAGATGGATTGCAGGGACTCCAAGGTAGGGCCTTCATCATCTTCATCTTCATCATCTTCATCATTTTCATCGTTTTCATTTATTATCATTTTTATATTAGTTTCATACCCTCACACACTCCTTGTCCATGGACACCCTGATCACCTCCAGGCAGGTGATCCAGTAGAACCAGGTGTGCTGCAGGGATTTCAAGGTAGGGCCTTCATCACTCTCATCTTCATCATCATCTTCATCTTTATTATCTTCGTCATCGTCTTCATTATTTTGTTATCTTCACTTTCACATTGACCTTCATTATTCTCACACACTCCTTGTCCATGGACACCCTGATCATCTCCAGGTAGGTGATCCAGTAGAAGCAGATGGATTGCAGAGACTCCGAGGTAGGGCCTTCATCACTCTCATCTTCATCATCATCTTCATCTTTGTCATTTTCATCATCATCTTTATCGTCTTCATCATCTTCAACTTCACGTTCACCTTTGTCACCTTCACGCGCCCCCGTCCATGAACCCCGTGGTCACCTCCAGGCAGGTGATCCAGCAGTGCCAGATGGGTTGTGGGGACTCCCAAGGTAGGGCCTTCGTCACCTTCACCATCTTCATCATCATCACCCCCAAAGCTCTTCCACCCCATCCCAGGGCGCGCACGGGTTGGACGCGCCGACGGCGACATTCCCATGATCCTTTTGGGGTGTCCCTTTGTCCCCCTGTCCCCCCCATCCCCTGAAATGTCCCCTGATGTCCCCCCCCCAGGGCCGTCTGATCCCGGGGGCCTACAAGTTCGACGCGCTGATCACGACGTTCGAGATGATCCTGTCGGAGTGCCCCGAGCTGCGCGAGGTCGAGTGGCGCTGCGTCGTCATCGACGAGGCCCACCGCCTCAAGAACAGGCACTGCAAGCTGCTCGACAGCCTCAAGCACATGGACCTGGTATGGGGAGAGAGTTTGGGGTCGTTTTGAGGGGATTTGGGGGATTTGGGGTCGTTTTGGGGGGTTTGGGGTCATTT